GGACCGGACAGCCCTTGGCAAAGGGCACCAGTCGAATGCCTTCTCCAGATTCACTGCTCCTCCTGGATCCGAGGTTCAAGTATCGGCGGTTGAGCTGTGGGGCAATGAGCAGGTCCACACCAGCTTTCACACTTTCTGTGTGCAATGCCAGAGAAATTAAGAGTCCAGCCCCTTTCAAGGAGTTGGGTTCCAGAGCTGCGTGTGGAGGTGAGGCTGACTATAGTAACAGTAACACTTAACCTCCCGCACAAGCTCAGCCCCCCCCCCCCCCACAGTGATGTGACATTCCATGTCCCCAGAGCTGGAGGCCCCTGCCTTCGACTGCCGCCCAGATCTTACTGATCCTCCTGAGGGTGGTGGGTCCACGGGAGAACGGCCCCACATCGCTCCTTCAGGTTGTGCCCGGCCAGGCCCCATGGGGGAAGGCTTTTGAATTGACCTAGTAGTCTGACCCGTCCTCTTGGACCTGTTTGCCTTGGGTGACCCTACCAGGCACATGAAGCCCCCGACAACATAGCTCCTGGGATCATCCAGGCACTCAAACCCCTCCACCACGTTAAGGTGGTGGTTCAAGGAGGGGCACTGTAACCTTTTTGTTGAAAATTTAACTCCTAAACAGAACCATGAACGCTCGTGTTGATCACAGGCTCCTGAAAGTGTGATGTTTAAATCCATTTTGTTTGTTTTTTTCAGTTTTCAGATCATCTTAAAACTCGCACTACTCTCCTCTTCCATATCTCTCCATCCATCACCTCTGCCCTCTCTTTCAGCTGACTTGAGAAACAGAATGACTCTTGTGGGTTGTTTGTCTGAGCTGCTCAGTGGTGCAACCACTCCAGCCCAGATCTCACATAGTTCTACAATCTCCACATCTCTGTTATGTTAATTATGTACAAAACTGGTTCAAACTGGTCTTCTCTCGTGGGAGTTTGAAGTGGTGGGTGGGAGGAGCTAAATTAACACTAGAGAAAGTTGAATTAACACTAGGGGAATTTGAATTAACTTTAACCATATCAACTCTGGTAAATAATCCCAACTCTGAAATATTTTACCCCGAAATTTGAACCGTCCAGTTTTTGCTGTGAGAAGGAAATGGAGAGAAAGGAGAGAGGAGGGACATGGAGTGGAAAAGAGGAAAAGAAGGTGAAAGGAGGTGAAAAGAGAGGGAGAGGAGAGAGAAGGAAGGGAGAGATGTGGAAGAGGAGAAAGAGAGGGAGGAGAGAAGAGGAGTGGAAGAGATTGCTGTGAACATGCTTATATAAGGTTATAGTTTTTTATAGAGGTGAATAGTATAAAACAAAAAAAGATAGAAACAAATTAAAAAGAAAAATTAAATTGTGTCAAATGAACAAAAGTAGCAGAATGGTTGACAGAGGGATTGAACAGATAAAGGAGTTGTACTTTTTTTCACACAAATTCAGCATATTTAGGCTCTCAAATTGAAAACGCCCCATTCCACCTTGTGATGTCATGTGATAATACAGGAAATGCTTCAGTGTGTTTTTAAACTCCACACACCTTCACTAAAATCATTTGGATCATTTCAGCCATAGAGCTCCGGGAGCTGACGTTATATCGGCTCGTCATGCACTAGGTGTCGCCATTTTGGCAGTAATCGGCAGATGGGCTGACTCACGCTGTACGACTCCAGCGCAGTAACAGATTGTTCTCCAGACGCAGCAGCGATTCATTTCTGAATTATTTTGCCAACAATGGCCAATACAGAGAATGTAATACATGAAGATCAGAGCAAGAACCAATGTGTGAACGTGTGGCTCCAGAGTGAGTCAATATTGGGGGTGCGTACCCCTGTTCAGGACCTGCACGCACAGAGAGGTCCTGGTGTTCCCCGTGATCACGTAGCAACCAGCATTTGTTATTTTAGGCTTTAATTAACCAAATAATTTTATGGCAATAGGCAAGAGCCTATTCAATTGATTCAACTTAAAAAATGTCCTGCTTTTAGCCTAGTGTGAGAAATACCATTGGACTAGAGCCAAACCAGAGTCCTGGACCAGCGGGAGCAGCTCCAGTCCAGCTCAGATGAGCTGGAGTGGAGTGGTGTTAGGAGCCTCGGCCTGAGAAGAACTTTCCCCGGGAAGAACCAAGAGCGCAGAGGACGGACGCTCAGCACAACATAAAACCAACCAAACTGGACTCACGCCTCTGTCCAGATGCTTTGCACCACCTCGGAAACAGGTTCTTAAGCACGGAGGATCTTAGCAGCCCGACCGGACCTGTAGTCCACAGCAAATTCTCACTTTCCCCACACGGAACCAGTGCGCAGAGGATGGAACATACTCACTCAGACCCAGTCCATCAAGCACTGGTCTTGCTCGTCCCCGTCTGAAACCAGCACATGGAGGACGGAATCTCCAGACCATCTGACCAACGCGCTCGGAGAACCAGACCAAGGACCCCAGCCCCATCCTGAGGAGCTGCGCGGTATGGTCACTGCTCCTCTTTACCGCTGTTGCCTGCTGCTGTTACCCGAGCTCAGAGCTTCTGCTCCAGGCTCATGTGCGGTGTGTTTGTACAAAGTTGTACATGTTGCTCTTTTATGAGTTCATGATGACACTTGAGATGAGGACGGCCTGTGGCATTAACAGGGAACATCGGTGTTGATAATTGGAGGTGATGAAACTAAACACCACTATTATGCTTCTTTTTGAGGAGGTAACAACATTCCAGCATGTCTTGAATTGTGATATTTGAACAACAACTTTATGCACATTTTCAGTTGTCTTGACATTCAGCATGTCTTGAATTGCACAAAAATCATTTTTTGGTAATTTAGTAGCACAGTCTCACTGTCTGTGTGTACAAAATAAATATTGACTATACTTTTTTCTTCTTTACAAAATATGAAATATTACTGACAATATCCTGTAGAAACAAGCCTTCATTTTATCTGTACAAGTTTATCTGTGGACATGCTGTTGTTTTTAACTAATCTCCTGACCCACGGTGAGATGGTTCTTGATTCGCTTCCCAGGTAGGGCAGGGTCTTTTTATATAAATCTGTTATTCTTCCTGTATCTGGCTCATTAACATAGGTGCCATCTTTAGCTGTGTTCAGACTTGCGCACACACACTTTTGGTGAATTTCCATGCTTTCTGGAGATATTACATTGACATGCATTTATTTCCTGGAGAATGATCCAAACCTTAACCAAACGTATCTCATATTTGAACTTTAAAGCATGTTCTTGATCTAATAATAAAGGATTTACGTCTTGAATTTGACCTGATTTTTGTCCCCCATGATGTGAGTGTGTGTGCTGTAGACTGTAAATATAAATGGACATAGTTAAGCTGCTGCTAGTTGTTGCGTTCCAAATAGGAAGTGAACATTGGCGCACGTCCGGCTCCATCGACTCTGTTTCCAATTGATTTTACTTTGAGAAATTGTGGTTCCCTGTCTCTGCAGTAAGCATCGTCATTAACCCGCTCTACATGATCCATCCAGGTGTTTTTATATCACCATTTTGTCTGTAAATAAATTTCTATTTCTAATACGGCGCTCCAAATTCACCCATATAACTTCAGCCTCGATGAGCTTCATTTGACTGGAGCGAAATGCTGTGGTGACGTCACACTTAGTCCACATCTTTATACAGTCTGTGGTGTGTACAGATGTGAGTCTCTACAATCTGACGTATACTGAAAGCCAATTTACGGTCCAACGTCAAAATCGTCTGCGTTTGCATCGACCGACGTACACCTCCGAAATGTTCTAACTGTGCATTGAAACGACGCAGACAGCGGGGGAAGCGACGCAGACAATAAGGGCTCTGATTGGTCCTCCCTACCACTGCTCTACACACATTTCTTGTACTCCGCTTTCCTTTTTTTCCAATATACATTGAGTAATAATGTGTTTATTGCAGCTTTGCGCATATTTGTTTATGTTTTACAGAAACTAAACTTAAAACCGTATGGCTAATTGGCATAAACGAAGCACTCAAAAAACAGCTCACTCCTTGTGTTCTGAGGCGGTTCAGCTTCTGTTGGACTAAAGGACACGACTCAAATATGCATATGAGTGTTCTTTCTGTGACAGAGGGATGTTCTGCTGACGGTGAGTCTGTTCTGTGCCTCTGTCATGTTGGAGATGGTTCATGTCAAACTTTTCAGAGATTATATGTCTGCCGGTCGCATAGATCATTTATATGAATGAATATATTCTAGCCCCCCAGCGTTTTGGCGGTGAATTACTTCGCGGTGCGTAGACCTCAACGCAGATCCATCAATCAAAAACGACAGCGACAAGGCGATGGCAGCAGTGCGCATTGAGTCGAGAAGTGCAGAACTATAAAAATGTGGACTAGACCAGAACTAAACCAGGACTAGAACAGGACCAAACCAAGAGTGTTCACACGTGCACATACATTATATATAAAATGGGAATAAACCAGGACTGATACGAGGACTAGACCAGGACTAAACTGGAATTCAACCAGCAGTAGACCAGGACCAGACCAGCACTAGACTAGGATAAGACAAGGAATAGACCAGCGTTAGACCAGCACTGGAGTAGAACTAGACCAGCACTAGACCAGGACTAGACCAAGATTAGATGAGGACTAGACCAAGACTAAACTAGCACTAGACCAGGACTTGATTAGGATTCATTTGGCACAAGACCAGGACTAGACCAGGACAAGAGCATCCTAGAAAAAAATTGGTTTGGTCCTGTTCTAATCCTGGTTTAGTCCAAGTTTAGTCCAGGTTTAGTTTCAAGTTAGTCCCAGCTGAGTCTGTTTTTGTTTTTGTTTGTGTGAAGGCAGGACTGGACCAGACTAAAACAGGACCAAAACTCTGCATGCACCACCAAATTTGGTCTTAAAAAAAACAATCAAACAAAAAAGGAATTTATCAAGTGCTGAGACCAACATCAGGATGAAGGACGTCTCTGGAAGAAGGCGCGTCTGAACAAGTCGAGAGGGAGTCATTAAACCCGGGTTTCCTCATTCTTAGAAATGTTATAAATAAAACCAAGTGGAGCCAGAGCGCAGAGCAGAGGACAGAGACGACACACCAGACACAACACACAAGACACAAGAGGTGAGTCTGAATACAACTTTTGCTATTTAGATTTGAAAATATATCTAATTTTTTTCCCATATTAATTACATTGTACTATGCCATGAAATCTCCAAAAGGTAAATTCACAATTGTTCAACCTGATGTTTTAAATTTGCACCAAGACCAAAGAACTCGCTGGACAAAAATCTACATTTGAACAATATTCATTTTCTCTGTCCTCACCTGTATTAAATGTGATTAATCTTATTAAAATATTGTGTTGTCATCTAAGACCCAGAAATTAATAACATTTTTGTTTGCTGACAAAAATTTCCCCCAAATTTTGCAAATTTTTACAGATTTATATGTAAATAAAATGAAATGTTACAGAATTTTTGGAAATGGATGTTTATAGCATTCGCACCAATTATGTATTTGTAATAAAATAGATAAAAAATGTTGGAAAATTTGGTAACACTTTATTTTAGGGTATACTTATTAACATCTAACTAACTGCTCATTAGCATAGTTGTAGATGGTTACTTTCTCATTAATTAGTATTTATTCAGCCCTTATTAATGTCTAATTAGTAAGCCTATTCTGCTATTAGTTAAACATTTACAAACACTTTTCTATTAATGCACTCCTTATTACTCCTTATTTGTAAGATACTAAGTTATTTTAATTAATTTAATTTCATTATTTAATTTCATTAATAGTTCAAATATGAATAGGTAGTTGTATATATCCAATTTTATTTAAACTCTAACTGCTGATCAAACACATACACTGTAAACCCAAATTAGTAATCATTACTAAAACCGCGTGTGGTGAGTGATTGCACTGGGTTGTCTAGTTTTTACAATATCAAAAACTAAACAAATCAAGCTCTGTTTACATAAAGTCTTCTGTCCGAGATAACCCATTACTAAAGAACTTAAGTTTCTAAAACTAATGTTTACAAGTAATTAACTAACCATTACTTGTGTATTACAGTAATCATTACTTATTTTTATCAGTATGTATTTCTCATATTTATGAGTATTTATTGATTGTTTATTATTTATAATAATTAGATGCAAATTATAAATCATAATATTTTTTTTAAATAATTGACATAAAATGACAATTTTTTTCTCACAAATTTATTGCAAAATAGTGCAACAGTAACATGCTTAAACCTGAATAAAGTGCAGTCTTCTGTTTGTTCCCTGTAACAGCATTTGCTTTTGTGTTTTACATTTCACAATTCAAACAAGGGGTTATAAGGGTCGTCAGCTTGTCCATAACAATTTCACCCTCAATGATGATTTTCAGGCAGCTGGGTGAAGATCTGGTGTTGGAAGAGAGACACCTTCAGATTTACTAACAAGATCCCAATGTCCATTTGGCCAAAGGATTCATCACCATCCTAAAGAAAAACAAAACAATTAATGCCAGAAACATAACCATTAGTGAATGAAATTACTGAACTACAACAGACTCAATAAGAATGACAAAACATAAATTGTATGAAATTCAAGTTATGCTGACATGATAAATATTTGGTCAAGCATTTTCAAATGTTCAAACAAATATTTGAAAATCAATAATAATCTGACTTTAAGATAAATAATATTTATGGAATGGCTGGAGCTCGTAATGTATAGACTATTTGTCAGTTTTGGCATATTCAAATTATACAATAAATGTCACATTCTAAAAGTTTCACATTACAAACAAAATGTACACTTACAAAGCTAGATTTGAAGAATTCAGTGGGATTGTCTCCGAGTAAGTAAGGAAGCCCTCTTAGTGTGACTGTCCTTTTTTCAGTAGAATCCAGTGACTGTAAGACAGAAAATGGATACTGTATGTTAAATTAAAAGAAATATACAGAGACGCAAACACTTCTGTAAATATACATTTAACCATTAACATGAACTATGTATTTTAATAAAAATTTATTATCTTTTTATCCATTTTAGATGAACTATGTTATGAACTTATGCTTTTACTGCACATGTATTTTATCCGGGTTACAAAAGTTTTACCTGCATTTGCTGCAAAAGCTGTGCCAACTGTCACCCACGCTGCCCCTCTTAGCTTTAAAACTTTCAATAAAATGGGTAGTGTGGTTATCAATCCTTTTGAATTTCAGACAAATCTAAAAAAAAAAAAAAAAAAAAAAAAAAGAAAGAAATTAGTGGTCTGTAGTGTCTGAGGTAGTAACCTCTCTTATCACAGCTGAACTCACAGTATTTACAGCTCCACAGCATGTTGGGTAGTCACCTGTAAAACACAAACTATGTTTTAGTGTTTAATTCCAACCAAATCTTATATGCAATTTTGTGGTGATGATCTAAAAACTTGAACTCCAAACTCTCCATTTGCACCCACGGTTTTAGATTTTAGAACAATCATATAGCAAACAACGAAAACGAGTCTCGATAAAAAAAACAACCCAAAAAAACCCACCAACTCTATACATTCATTCTAAAATTCTGTTTTAGTCTTGGTTTTAGACCTGGTTTAGTTCTGAGGCGCAGTGCACACGGTGTACGTGAGAGGACACGGCGCCCGTGAGGACTTCTATGGGTCCATGCGTCGTTAACTGCCACCCGCCCGAGTTTGATTCAAACTGTATTTTTCGTCGCGTGATCCGCCCAAGCCGCGGTTTAGCCGCGGAGTTTGCCCTCCGTTCATCTCTACGGGCTCCCACAGCGTTAACTGTTAGCATTAGCTGTTCTGTTAGTGGCTAACAGATGATAGCGAGCGCAACGTGACCACAAGTGAACTTCACGTTAGCCTTATTTGGCTACAAGCGTCAACCAATGTCTCCAACTATTTAGTCTCAACATAAACCATATTTATTCACTTACCATACGATGATAAAGCGAACTGATGCTGAATTGCAGCCAACAGTCCGAGCAGAAGTCAAATGTGGTTTGGTGCAGTTTGGGCGTGTTCAGGTGCCAAGTCTCTCCCTTCACCGGTAAAAACATACAAGTGTGAGCCGTCTCCACTCAGAGCCATTAGTACACCAAATACTAGTTTAAAATAGTTTACAATTCACACTTTGTTTAGTAATGGTCCCGCCTTTTGCAAAATATTAAAAAGATTAGTAATATTAGCTTGGCTTAATATGTAAAAGAAAATTTGGGTTTACAGTGTAGACATAAATATCAACGTTTGTATGATTGAGAACATTTCAAAACGTACCATATCAAGAAATGGTAGCTCATCTCTGTCTCCATCTAGAGAGCATTCAAGTATTTATACCCTCAGTAAATCCTTCAGTGAATACAGTTAGAGTAGCACAAAAAAGAGTTAATGTCAACAATGAGGAATGCATGAACAATGAATTTAAAAAAAGGAATAGGAAACATTTTTGTCTGTAAGTAAGTCTTTATTTATAGCGCTTTTACAGACATTTTCTGCCCCCAAAGACGCTTTACACAGCATTATTCAGCATTATTCATTCAGCAGTCTGTGCTTCATCTCATGATGAACTACAACTTTGACAAACAGGGAACATTTACAAGTCTGTACTGACTAATTATACTGGAAAATGCTTTTCTAATGTCCTGCAAAAGCATTCCAAATTGACCGTTTCTGTGATACTTCCCACGCCAGTATGACCGTTCAGTGACCTTCAGGGTGTACTCTCAGTAGGACATATCATCACACGGTGCTATTTGTGCTAACAGAGAAAAAAAAAGCTGGAGCTGGAGAAATATCTATTAAATAGTGAGACTCATGTGCGTCCTTTAACTCGTCCTTGAGTTTGTAGATATAAAAACAGCACAAATCAGTGATGACAGCCGGAGACGAGAGGCAGCTAAACTTCTGTCTGTCCTTACTGAAGATAAGTGCGAGAGTTTATACACTGTTTTCCTCCTGTGAGTAACATCAGTGCACCTGACAGAGCTTCGTCATGCGCGTGTGTGTACATGAGCAACTGTGCCGTGCTTTGGACCACCTCCTCCAATCAGTTCAAAGTCCCAACCGTGCCGTGCCTGAGCACGGTTCGATTGCGCTCACACTGGACAAACGTACAGACCTTCAGGGGCGATCCGTGCTTTGGGCACGGTTCTAAAGTCCTAGTGTGAATGTACCCTTATTATTATATTTCCGTGGTGGCACAGTGAGATGTCTGGGGTTTAACCGGGATTGCATTGTGGACTCACAAACACAGACAGGCCACAGCGCTGTTACACATTCAGGTACAGCTGGACACTGTTTTTAGTTGGAGTGCTCCAGACTCTGTGTGGTCCAAGCCAGGTCCGACTCAGTTCATTCACAATCCAGAGAACTCCACCAAGCCGTGGAGGTGTACAACTTAATGTGTAACGACGCAGTGCTGTGTTTGTGTGAGCCACCACGATCTCGATCCCAGTTTTCCCCAGGCAATGGAGAACATGTCCCCATGATGGTCTCATCTCAGTGCCCCGGACTAAAGCAAGAAAACCATGCAATGAGTCCATGTTTAGAGAGCAATGTGTTTTGCATGGCTTCAAAGGGGAGGCAAAAGCACCCAGTGCAGATAATCCAGTTCATACCTGGACCCACACTAGCCCAGGCTGTGGCTAACTGATGTCGATATGATCCTTGTGAACTCTTTGACCTGGGCATTGTTGCACTAAAGCTGATCATTCCCAGTCCTCATATTACAACTTCTGATGCAACTGCAAACTGTATAATTGCTGACAAATGAATAAATCAATCTACTCATTATCACAGTACAATACTACCCACCATTTAGGCTTTTTTTTGTCATAAGGAGATTTCACTACACTAATAATAATTTTTAGATTATTGTTATAAACTTGGACTGATATTTCTTGGGAAACAAAGGGTTAATATAATAGAATGGAAATGGACCAATCATAATTTTTCTCCCAGTGGTATCCGGGTATATCAGTGACTCCTCCTGCAGCGCTGAACTAAAGAAGCACCTGCAGGACCTTCGGTGGCTGGAACGAAGTTTGAGATTGACAGTTGTCTTAGCCAATCATATTTCACTTAGTTATGGGCAGGATCATATCACGAAATGTTCCTGGCCTTCGCGAGTACCCTGTGATAGCAAATGTAAGCAAGACCGCAGAGACAAAGCCTCACTGGAGCTAGGAGCCCGTGGAAGCTCTGAGCCAGCGGAGGCTCGGACACGTTGCATCTCACGTAGTCCGAAAAAAGTGAAAAAAGTGTAAAGAAAAGACATCAAACTTAAAGAAATGCTCGCGGTGGGCCTTTTCAAAATAAAAGCCAGTGAGCAACAAACGTTTACATTAAATAAATAAGTAAATAAATAAATAAATAAGAACTGCGTTAACGGCTTTAAAACAATTGTCAGCGATAATGAATTAATTAGTTAACACAAAATGAATGCTTTAATGTGCCCGGCCCTAGAAAATAATAAAAATGACGTGTTGAAATAACAATACTATAAAGTGTCAGAAAAGCTTCATGTCTAAATAGAGAAATGTCATAATGAAAAATTCAAATTTTCAAAATTACACTGAAAACATGTGAACCTCAACCTCAGTCACCTCACCATTGTGCCGTGTACTGTCTTATATTTTACTTTCCTGTTTTTTTCTTTTCTTTCAGAATTCAGACACTTCTGTGTTTCAAAATGTCCAACGTCTCCATGAGCGACGACTGCTACTACCCCAAGGGGACCTGGACCTGCTTCGTCTTTCTGGTCATGATCGTGACTGTCGGTCTTCCCGGGAATATTTTGGCCTTGTGGATCTTCTGTTTCCGCATGAAAATCTGGAAATCTCACACCATTTTTCTGTTCAACTTAATGCTCGCCGACTTCTTGCTTTTGGCTTGCGTCCCTTTCCGGATCGACACACATTTGCGAGATGAGCACTGGATTTACGGAGAAATATTTTGCAGGATAAACCTCTTCATGCTAGCCGTGAACCGCTCAGCCAGCATTGCGTTCATGACTGTTGTGGCCCTAAATCGCTATTTCAAAGTTCTCCACCCTATGAATTGCGTTAGCTTGATGTCTTCACGCCACGCTGTCTGGCTGTCCCCTTTGATATGGTTGGTGGTCATAATCTGCCGAGTTCCGTTACTAACGACCGATCTTTTACAACACCAAGGCAACCGATCAATGTGTCGAAGTTTTGGCTTCCCCCGACCACCACTGGCGATAACTGTCCACTACATTGCTTATGTCATCGAATTCATCCTTCCATGGTTTGTGCTACTGTTTTGTTCAGCAAGAATCATTTGGTATTTAAAAAGGCAGGAACAAATTATCCAGCAAAAGAAGTTTAAGAAAGCCATACAGTCAGTTGCAGTGATAAATCTGGTGTTTACAGTTTGTTTTTTGCCCGCCATCATCACGGGATTGGGCAGTTTGGTTTTAAAAAGGTTCAGACCACAAGACTGTGAAGTCATCCGAAAGATGTCATTGGCGTTCATGGTCTCTATCGGAGTGACGTATCTGAACAGCGCTCTGGACCCCGTCATCTACACCTTCTCCAGCTCAATGTTCAGGACTGCTCTCAGAAATGTTTTTAAAGACGTGAAGAAATGAATTCTGGGTAATCTGAGACTTATTTGTTTGAATATGTTGCACCGTCTTTCTTTTTCATGTCACTTCGAAATAGAGATTTCACTTCAACGTCATCTGTTTCTCCACTCTTTCAGTGAAGGTGAGCGTGATCGGACACAGCGCAGAGGACATAGCCTATCCGTTCAAAGTCACACAGACAGTGTTGTAAAGGCAGGACTGAACTGAAGTCAAACTGCTACTATGTCGGCGTGAGCTTATTCCCTGTGTTTTTAAAGTTTCATTCATGTTAATTCACCATTCACCATAAAGTCATTTATTTCCCGGACATGGTGTGTATGTTTCTGGAAATTGGAGTGTCAGTGGGGTTGGGATATGATGTCATATGGACTGTGAATGTATATGGGACAGATAAGGGGTGTGTCTCCAACCTTTAGCATATGCCAGTCTGTGATGGACACGTGTTGGGTCGAAACTGCTGTGTGTATTTCCGTTGAAGATGCTAACTCAACAGTTATGCTAGTATAAAAGGCACCCAGTTTTTCCGTGAAAACATTGGGGGACGTCGACTGACAGCGTTGTCGAGGAATGACCGACGCATAGAGACGCCGCGTAGGCGAATCATGCAAAATCAATTTGAGACCTGTACCTGCCTGAACCAATAAAGAGACATGTCTGAGAACTGTTCTAACTCTCCAAGCCTCTTTCTTAAGATCCTCTGTTCAGGCTGCCTCCAGGAGAAGCTGTAAACATCAGGCTTTCTGTGGCGTCGCTGCACTGACCATCGAGCACAAAAAACAGGAAATGGGAGTTTGAGCAGCAGCCACAATCAGTGTTGGGAAGGTTACTTTTAAAATGTATTCCCCTAAAGATTACAGATTACATAGCCCAAAATGTAGTTGGTAACATAATCCATTAAATTACTTAAAGTGAGGAACGTAATCTGAATACTTTGGATTACTTGATTTGTGGTAGAGCAGCAAAGACTAGAATATCGTAACATAAGATGTTTTGCTAAAAGAAAATCAAAAGCCAAGACTTTAGTCAACCAAATTAAAAATATTATTGATAGAAGAGGAGACACATCCACGCAGCATGATTTAGTCCTGGTTTGGTCCTGTTAAATCCTCGTTTAGTCCTGGTTTAAACCTGGTTTGGACCTGGTTTAGACCTGGTTTTAGTCCTGGTTTAGATCTGGTTTAGATCTAGTTTAAACCTGATTTTAGTCCTGGTTATTTATCAAAATATACATCTGCACCAAGTGTTTAAAGAGGAGCTGGCAGTTAACTCAAATCCGGCTATTATTTGTTATTTTACGGTATGAACTTCCTTCGGGAAAAATGAATTACCTTCAGGATAAATAAAGTATTAATCTATCTACAGTATCTGTTTATCTCTCTATCTATCTGATACTCTGCTGTGTCATCAGGCTGAGGGTGTTCTACGATGCATATTTCTATTGGTGGAATGTTCTGCAGTTTCGATGGTAACACGATACACACACTAGCAGACACAAACAAAAAAGTTTTAAGATCGTCTGAAAACTCAAGGAAAAACACAAATGAATTTAAACAACATATTTTCATGAGCCTGTGATCAGTCCGAGCGTTCATGATCCTGTTTAGGTGTTTGATTTCCAACAAAAAGGTGAAAAAGATTGAAAAGATTAATTAGATTACCTAGATTGTGACTGTAATTTTATTTGAGAGGCAAGTCAGGGCAAGTTGATCACAGTTCGTACACAAAGTAATCCAAAGTGCGGTTCATAGTCAGAGGAACTTGTTTAACTGCACAACCTCACCTGTTTTAGTTCCAACCAAGTCAGCCTTTTCTCATTAGACTGTGTTAAAATAAAGCTCAGAATAAAGTCTAACTTGAGTAACAGAGTAGTGCTTTCAGTTCGCTTCACACAGCTTCAATATAAACATTTTCTGGTCCACCATCTGCTTTTCTATTTGAAATGTTATTGCTGTGCCTGGAATGTTCCACAGTATGGCATTAAACTGATAAACTATCTCCATGGACACAAGCACCACACATGACATCTCCATGGAGACAGAGGCTCCACCAAATCCATTCTGTTTGACTGTATTGTTTTATTTGAGTTGTAGCACAGACTTTAACCACTAAACCAGGACTAAACTACATTTGATTTGATTTTACTTTTAAATGATGCATTTGTGGGTGACCGGATTTTCAAAACTCAAAACTGGGATGCATCCAGGTTGGGATGGTTGGTATAAAAAAAATAAAAAATGTGGAAAAGAGCATGTAAAATCTTCAATGTATTTTGTGGGTCATCATCATCTTTTTTTTTTTTTCTTATGGTTATTTTCAAGCTAAATTTTTCGTATTTTTGATTAAAAAATGACAATATATTTCTGTCTCGGTGGGTATTAAAGTGATCAAAGGGAAGCCTGGGACATTTTTTGTACAAAACTTGGACAAATCAGTGGTTTTGGATAAATCTGCTGACACAGGGAACGTCTGGTCACCCTACATTTGTCTATTTAAGACATAATATAAATGCTTTAGACATAGTTTTAGGAGAGTTCTTGGTTGGGTTGCTTTTATCCTAGTTTTGACCTGGTATTTTTGTTTGTTTTGTTTTTACCAGATTTAAACTTGGTTTAGACAGGGTTTGTGCTCTTTTGGATCCTGGTTTAGTCCTGGTTTAGTTCTTGTTTAGTCTTGGTTTAGTTCTTGTTTAGTCCTGGTTTAGTTCTGGTTTAGTCCTGGTTTAGTTCTGGTTTAGTTCTTGTTTAGTCCTGGTTTAGTTCTGGTTTAGTCCTGGTTTAATCCTGGTTCAGTCCTAGTTTAGTCCTGGTTTAGTCTTGGTTTAGTTCTAGTTTAGTCCTGGTTTAGTTCTTTTTTAGTCCTGGTTTAGTTCTTGTTTAGTCCTGGTTTAGTCCTAGTTTAGTCCTGGGTTAGTTCTGGTTTAGTCTTGGTTTAGTTCTGGTTTAGTCCTGGTTCAGTTCTGGTTTAGTCCTGGTTTAGTCTTGGTTCAGTCCTAGTTTAGTCCTGGTTAAGTTCTGATTTAGTTCTTGTTTAATCCTGGTTTATTCCTAGTTTAGTCCTGGTTTAGTTCTCGTTTAGTTCTGGTTTAGTCCCAGTTTAGTCCTGTTTAGTTTCTGGTTTAGTCCTGGTTTAGTCCTGGTTTAGTTCTGGTTTAGTCCTGGTTTAGTTCTGGTTTAGTCCTGGTTTAGTCTGGTTTAGTTCTGGTTTAGTCTTGGTTTAGTCCTGGTTTAGTCTTGGTTTAGTTCTGGTTTAGTCTTGGTTTAGTCCTGGTTTAGTTCTGGTTTAGTTCTGGTTTAGTCCTGGTTTAGTTCTGGTTTAGTTCTTGGTTTAGTTCTGGTTTAGTCTTGGTTTAGTTCTGGTTTAGTCCTGGTTTAGTTCTGGTTTAGTCCTGGTTTAGTCTTGGTTTAGTTCTGGTTTAGTCCTGGTTTAGTTCTGGTTTAGTTCTGGTTTAGTCTGGTTTAGTTCTGGTTTAGTTCTGGTTTAGTCCTGGTTTAGTTCTGGTTTAGTTCTGGTTTAGTCCTGGTCTACTTCTTAAACACTGAAAGAATGCTGCATGTTTGAAGTGAGTTTGTTTATCCCAAATCAATTTACGACTTGATACCTAAACTGTTGCAATCCAGGAATTAAAAATGGCAAGTACGTTCAAGCAAAACTGTAAATATTTGTACAGGTGATGACGAAGTTAAAAGTTAAAAGTCAGAAGTATCAAAAACTAGACATTACTCAATACAAAAACTAGTAGCTGATTGTGGGCAATGAGCCCACACCAGCTCACCGCCGCTCCCCGCGGCCAACGCCAAAGAAATGGAGAGTCCAGCCCCTCTCAAGGAGTTCGGTTCCAGAGCCCAAACTGTGCATGGAGGTGAGGCCGACTATATCTAGTCGGTAACGCTCAACCTCCCGCACAAGCTCAGGCTCCTTCCCCCCCAGCGAGGTGACATTCCATGTCCCCAGAGCTAGTCTCCATGTCCGGAGATCCGGTCGTCGAGACCCCCGCCTTCGACTGCTGCCCAGATCTCTCTGCACCAGCCCCATATGGCTCCTCCCGCGGGTGGTGGGCCCACGTGAGGACGGCCCCACGTCACTACTTCGGGCTGAGCCCGGCCGGGCCCCGTGGGGGAAGGCCCGGCCACCAGGCGCTCGCTGGTGAGCTCCCACCCCAGGCCTGGCTCCAGGGTGAGGCCCCGGTGACGCCAATCCGGGCGACGTAACTGGCCTCTGTGTGTGACTCATCATATGGGACTTCTGAACCATTCTTCGTCTGACCCGTCCCCCCGGACCTGTTTGCCTTGGGTGACCCTACCAGGGGCATGAAGCCCCCGACAACATAGCTCCCGAGATCATTCGGGCACTCAAACCCCTCCACCACGATAAGGTGACGGTTCAAGGAGGGGTTACTAACATAGAGTGTATAAAAGAATGCTTTATCAGGGTAGGCACTGGGTCTTAAAAATCTTAAATTTCATGAGCCTATTTTTTGTAAACTCAACCAGGCTGCAGTGCTGTTTTAAATGGAGGGGAAAAAAAAAAAGTGAAATCACGGAACATGCGCAAACCATACTTTGGTTTCTGGCACTGGTGAGTGAACAATCAGTAGAGTGGAGAAAGATGTTGGATGGATCATGGGGACGTGTCGGTTTAACCCACAGTGGCTCTTAGATTCTAGATATAGTACCGGTAGTTGGTTGATCATTATTAGAATTGAATCTGGTGTTTTTCACCAGCATAATGGGTGCAATGTTGGTCTTAATTTTCATTTAAGTGGTCTTAAAAAGGTCTTTAAAAGTCTTAAATTTGGGTTAGTCAAACCCCGGAATATTATTACTATTAGTGATTTAATCAGCTGGATACAAACACCCAAAAGCTTCAGTTTCACAAAAGGTATAAGTGACTCATTATTTGAATTAGTGAGAGGAACTCATCAGGGGTCCCCACTGTTCCCCTTCTTTTTGTCTTTTCTGTTGAACCGTTGGCAGTTGCTATTTGGAAAGGAGCTCAAATAACCGATGATTGACAAGGACACAGTTGTAGAATGCAGATGACATTCTTGTGTCAGATCCACAGAGCTCGTGTCCTGTCTTGTTCTCTGATTATTGAACAAAGACGGTCCTGCTACTCAGTTTTCATTTCCCTAAAACTCTGTTTCAAACTAGTACGTTCTGGCCTCAAATGTGTATCAAAAATCGTAGTATTTTGTCCCTGTACTCCAATTATCTGAGCTGATTTGATTCAAATTGATTTTAATCCTTTACTTTAATCTATAACTTCAAGTCATGAGTCATGAGATTTTTGATTAAGAAAGGTCATGGTAACGGAGGGAAAAGTAACGGAGGGAAAATTGTACAAGCAAGTAGAAGGTGCATGATTTTACATAATTTGTCGCTTTTTTCTTCTGAATACTTTAATATTACTTCAAAATGAAAGGAAACTATTTCTATAAAATATGTCAGTCCTTCCAAGCAAATTTTTATCATTTTAAATACATTTTTTTTGAAAAATCAAGTACCTTCATCAACAGTTCAAAGATTGAATAACACAAGATATGATGAAATACATCCATTTATTTCACAGGTGTCACACATACGGCCCGGGGGCCAGAGCCGGCCCTCCAAGACCTTTAATGTGGCCCTCAGCTGATTTTCTACTAAAATATTTTAATTATATTTTCTATTAAAATCTTGTTAATTTTCTGTGGTGTTTATCACAGCAGCGTCTCCAGTGTCTCTGTACGTGGCCCCTCCCACCAGAGCAGCACAAATGAAGACTTGTCTCTTTCCAAACGCTCTTAAAGGACGATCGTTTTGACTGTTGACCGTGACACCCTCATCAACAAAATGTCCAACATGAGAAAAGTGGAGCCGAGTGCAGGATTTTCCAAGAAAAATTTATTTATTCCTATTTACATACAAGTTCATGTTAAAACATTGTGTTGAAATTGTCTTTTTCTTAAAGTTTCAGGTTGTTCATAATATTATAATATTTTGTAAAAGAAAGAGTTCATCAATTAAAAAAAGATTTCTGTAATAGATTTGTGTTTCTCTGCACAAATATTTGAACTTATTGTTATTTTTGAGTTTTCTGATCCGGCTCCTTTGGGATCAAAGTAGGTTGGATACGGCTCCTGGACCAAAATGAGTTTGACCCCCCTGATTTACATGAATCTATAACTTCAAGTCATGTATGTACCTCATGTGTCTGGACTGACTTATAATGCTGTAATTATTTTTTGTCCATCTTTAATATACGACATCCAGAAGTTATTGTAACCATTTCTTCTTTCTTTTTAATATATTCTGAATAAATATGCATAAGTCATGAAAACTGGTTTAAATTGAATTTATTGTAGCAATCCATTGAATACAATAAACAATGACATTTAAACAATACAAGTAGAAATGATCGATTGGAAGATATACAAATTCAATTGAAATATCCACCATTTTAAACATGCTCTAAACCCACAAATCATCAGTTGCTTCTTTTTCCCTTTTTTTTAAGGACTTGAACTTTTAGCTCTGCCTTCTCAGTCTCTACTGTGATATTAAACTCTGACCCCTTTCTTTCCTCGGAATTCTCTGTTTTCTCCTGACTATTTATAACTTGCACCATGACACCGGACCGGTATTAGACCAGGACTAGACCGGGACTAAACCAGGACTGATCCAGTGTCATTAGCGGAGTATAAATATATATATATACGCCCCATTTGTTGACCTGATCTCCTCCGCTGATGTTTTATGTCATAAAAACACTAAACACAGTCTCTTTCAGTCTGGTCTGACATTGTTTCGGGAAAAGACTGGGACCGGGCACTTGTTTCCAGGGCAAAGGTCACGCGTCAAGTATTTTTCTCCCGTTAGTCCACGGCGTCAAAGACGCGGGTCGGGGGTGTCTAAACTCAAATGCAAAGGCGTCCAAATAGAGGCGTCATGGCGTTTTTTGATGCTTTGGTGTGAACGGCCCTTGACACAGTTCTTTCCTTGGAATTCTCTCTTTTATTTATAACTTGCACCATGACAGAGAATCATGTGTCTGGGATCGTGTCAGGCAGCTGAGTCTGGTCAAGTGGTAACGGAGGGAAACAGGGGCAGATTTTTGACATTCAAATGTCTCTTATTCAGAAACTAGAGGGACTATTGAAATAAGTAAAGTATCAGAATGTAGGAAAGAGTTACACTCCAACAGGGTCAAGTTAAACCTGTGATATTCTTTCAAGTTGTTGACAAAAAATTGAAAAACTCATGTCAGTAACAGAGGGAATGAAATATGCAGCACTTTTTGGTGATAACTCTTGGTTCTCACTTCCATATCCTTAACAAACTGGTTTGAATATTTGCTTCATATAGTTTTCTACCATATGGTACAAGATTAGGTTGAAAAACCTCTTACTTTTTGACTCATGAGATTTTTGATTAAGAAAGGTCATGGTAACAGAGGAAAAAGTAACGGAGGGAAAATTGTGCAAACAAGTAGAAGGTGCAGGATTTTACATCATTTGTCAGTTTTTTTCTTCTGAATACTTTAATATTACTTCAAAATGAAAGGAAACTATTTCTATAAAATATGTCAGTCCTTCCAAGCAAATTTTTATCATTTTAAATAACTTTTTTTTTTTTGAAAAATCAAGTACCTTCATCAACAGTTCAAAGACTGAATAACACAAGATATGATGAAATACATCCATTTATTTCACAGGTGTCAAACATAAGGCCCGGGGGCCAGATCCGGCCCTCCAAGACCTTTAATGTGGCCCTCGGCTGATTTTCTACTAAAATATTTTAATTATATTTTCTATTAAAATATTGGTAATTTTCTGTGGTGTTTATCACAGCAGCGTCTCCAGCGTCTCTGTACGTGGCTCCTCCCACCAGAGCAGCACAAATGAAGACTTGTCTCTTTCCAAACGCTCTTAAAGGACGATCGTTTTGACTGTTGACTGTGACACCCTCATCAGAAAAATGTCCAACATGAGAAAAGTGGAGCCGAGTGCAGGATTTTCCAAGAAAAATTTATTTATTCCTATTTACATACAAGTTCATGTTAAAACATTGTGCTGAAATTGTATTTTTCTTAAAGTTTCAGGTTGTTCATAATATTATAATTAGGGGTGTCAAATTATCGCGTTAATTGCGATTAATTAATTACTGTCATATTTAGCGCGTTATGTTTTTTAATCGCTTTAATCTCATTTTTAATCTCTAACTTTAGTGTTTCTGTATGCGAGTTGCTTTATTATAAAACCTGTTTTTATGTGTTGTTGGGACAATAACACACACACACACACAAAAACCACATTTATACATTTTTTTATTTCGGTAATTCCTCTCATTGCCGGAAACCCACACAAAACGCGCGCAGTAAGAGCGATGTAAACGTCATGTTAACACTGGCGGTGTCAGTCGCACAGTGGACGAGGTCGAAGAGCCAGTAGAACAGAGCAGCAGTGCACAGGTAAAAACACATTCGTGTCTTGGAAATTCTTCTCCCGACGTGAAATATAAAAGAAAATAACTAATATAATATCGCCTACAACTTAAATGTCACTGGTGAAAACAACCTGCATAGACTCATGATGTCTGCACTACTGTCCTATAGTGACCTGCCACATGAGGGGACACGCACACAAACACACACACAAACACAAACACACACAAACACAAACACACACAAACACACACCTTCATCATCCTCATTAACCTGAGAACCCGCGGACCACGTTTCCTTCCGTAGTTACTGCGTGGACACCGACGTGTTCCCGTGAGCCGCATGTGGATCGTGTTTTCTCGCGTACACGGCGTAAACCACGCTTCCTCCTGTGAGCCTCTAAACCAGAACTAACACCAAGACTTAAACCAGGACTAAACCAGGTCTAAACCAGAACTAAAACTAGAACTAAAACCAGAACTAAACCAGGACTAAACCAGAACTAAAACCAGGATTAATCCATTCCAGGACTAAACTAGGACTAAAGTAGGACTAAAGCAGGTCTAAACCAGGACTAAAACCAGGACTAAAACCAGTGATCTCATATATAAAGCATTTCTCTATCGATAATATTTTTAATATGGTTAAGGAAAGACTGGACTTTTTATTGTCTTTAAGTAGACAAAAGTTATTATGTTCAGATTTCCTCGTCTTTGCTACTTTACAGCAAACAGTTTCTTATTCATGGAGACTTGGGCTCAACAGCCAATTTGGAGAGATTTGTTAAACAATAAATGACTTTATAAAGTCACTTTTTTGGTTCTATATGAGTCTTTTGATCTGCCACAATAATGTAATAATGAATTTAAATGAAAATACCTCAAATTGAAGACTTTTCTCAGCAATTTTTAGGTGAGATTAAAATGAGATTAATTAGATTAATTAATTACAGATCATAATTAATTAATCTCTCAATTTTTTTAATCGCATGACAGCACTAATTATAATATTTTGTAAAAGAAAGAGTTCATCAAGTAAGAAAGATTTCTGTAATAGATTTGTGTTTCTCTGCACAAATATTTGAACTTATTGTTATTTTTGAGTTTTCTGATCCGGCTCCTTTGGGATCAAAGTAGGTTGGATACGGCCCCTGGACCAAAATGAGTTTGACCCCCCTGATTTACATGAATCTATAACTTCAAGTCATGTATGTACCTCATGTGTCTGGATTGACTTATAATGCTGTAATTATTTTTTGTCCATCTTTAATATACGACATCCAGAAGTTATTGTAACCATTTCTTCTTTCTTTTTAATATATTCTAAATAAATATGCATAAGTCATGAAAACTGGTTTAAATTGAATTTATTGTAGCAATCCATTGAATACAATAAACAATGACATTTAAACAATACAAGTAGAAATGATCGATTGGAAGATATACAAATTCAATTGAAATATCCACCATTTTAAACATGCTCTAAACCCACAAATCATCAGTTGCTTCTTTTTCCCTTTTTTTAACGGCTTGAACTTTTAGCTCTGCCTTCTCAGTCTCTACTGTGATATTAAACTCTGACCCCTTTCTTTCCTCGGAATTCTCTATTTTCTCCCGAATGTTTATAACTTGCACCATAACAGAGAATCACGGGTCTGGGATCGTGTCAGGCAGCTGGATTCCCATGAAAAAGAGATCCTGCCATTAACTTCTAACTTTTTTTGTGGAGGGTATTTTTTGTTTCATGTCACACTGTGGAACATTCCAAGCAGAACAGTGACATATCCACAGAAACAAGCAGGTGCCGGACCCCCAACCAAAAAGTTACGTAGTGCACCACCAGCCAGAAAAACCAGAAGGTCACGTATAGTCTGAGGAAAGGACGTGCTTCCGGCTCAACTCTGTAACTGCTGCAGCGAGCCTCCATATTTTGGTCTTAAAACGTTCGTATTAACCCGCTCTACATGATCCTGTGGTTTATATTTTGCAGTTTTATCTGTAAATAAATCCCTATTTCTGATCTGGAACTCGGCTCCAAATTCTCCACATAACTGCCAACGTTCTTGAGCTTCATTTGACTGAAGCTGGACGCAGTGGATGACGTCACACTCCCTTAGTCCACTTCTTTCTACAGTCTGTGGACGAGATACGAGACTGTGTCCACGAGAACGAGACAAGAAGAGATTTTTACACAATATATAACCTAATATACTGTATAAATATTTAGATGATTGGTTCACTTTCATTTTTGGGATTTTACATTTTTTGATGTATTTGACGGAATATTTTTGTTGTCATCCCAGTATGGCCGTTCGTAACTAAAAGAGATGGAACTCAGCAACACGTAACTCTTTTTGTCCAATCCAAATGTAAAAACAGTGGAAAAATGTCACAAGATCATTTTTCTCACATGTCCACAATCTTGAGACACTTTTGTCTCACAAGATCTCAGATATTGTCTCATCTCTATTTATTATAAATCGACACAACCCATTTGTGTTTGTCAGTGTTTGGTGTTTAACAGCAAAGCCAACAAGCTCATCTTTTAGTTTGAACTGTTGTTTCTTCTATATATAGACTTTTAAAAGCAGTTAAAGATACAGTAAGTCACTTTCTGAAGGTGGTGCGTCACCTGCTTGATTCCATGGAAACAGACATTTTAAAACCATATTGGGGAACATACAGCTAAAAGAACAACATTTCCATGGAAACAAATCAGGTTTGTGGAGATGCAAGCCAGCTCAAAGTAAGTACGCTGGATTCTCATGCTTCTACTTGAGTCTTTTTAGGTAAATGTTACATACTGTATCTTTAAAATCATGAGTAAATAATTTGGCTTGACTTTTTAAAGAAAAGAAACATTCAGAATACAACTTGCTTTGTCCTTTCTTTCATTTCTTAACATATAAGAACAACGCACGGTCATCAAATAAAACATTGGTAATGAAACACATGACATTGCCCTGTAAATGTATAAGTCTATCATTGACGAATAAACAAAATAAATTAAAATCTAAGAAAAAAAAAAAAATCCATGGAATCACTTAATCCAACCTGTGAGGGCATCTGACAATGTGTCAAGCAACACCGCTGACTAATCTCAGCTTCAAATAAATAAAGAAAAGGTTCATTATCCAGCAACGTGTACCAGAATTAAGATGGATCTGTGCTTAGAAAAATCAACTTCTCTGAGGTCTGGTCTGGTCCTTTGTGTGATAAGATTTCAGCAAATACAGACAGAACACAGCCTTTCTATAAATGCCTAGAAAAAGATCTAAATATTGATTCAGTCTTTTATGTTCTCAGCCCTGATAATACACACATGTTCTAAATCAGGGCTTCTTTAACAATTTTAACCCTGGGGCCTGACTTTTTTCTGTAAAAAGTAACTTGGGGCCCAGTCTCATATTAAATTTATTAAACTCTTGGGTGGCCCTTAGGTTAAGAATCACTGTTATTGCCATTTCCCCAGATATTAAAGTTGGGGTTAAAGTTGGGCTGCAATATTCAATGACAATTCTGACAATTTTAAAAAAATGTTTTGACACAATTCTTTCAAACTAAAATGTGCATGCCTTAATCCGTTAGTCATTAAACATGTGTCAAAATACAACCTCCATAAAGCAGATCACTGGAGTTCCCACGTCCTCACACTGACGCGAACGAACTCGAACACGTGAAATTGTCGGTCGTTTCTCCCGTTTATGAATCAAAACTGTTTTCTACGCACTGTTTGACTCCACTTTGCTGTCGGCTTCACCTACAGCGACAGATCTAACCCCGCTGAACAAAAAAAAAAGGTCTGGTAAAAGTGTCTCTGGTCAGATAAAAGTGGCTCACCCGACTCTGCGGCGCTCGAGAGCACAACAGAACGGACCCGAGGCTTCAGAAAGACGTGTTGATTCTGTGTGATTGTGAGGAGGCCCCGCACGCTCCAGCTCCGGCTCTGATCCTGGCTCAGATCCAGGCGCTGGGCTTCTCTTCGTTGCATAAAAGGCTCTTGGCTCCATTCTGCCAAGAGTAAAGCGTCTCCAGTGGAGTTTTTCCGTCCTGCGGGATCACAACAGCTCAGTCAGTACACGGATCACAACACTGAGGTGAGCTTAACTATGTCATTGTACAATCTGAAAACCTCCAACTGATACTTTGCTGTGACATTGTGCTGGGGGTGTTGTGCATGTAGTTACCATGGAGACACAATGCTCAGATTAGCATAAGGGCCCGGTCAAGCAGAAGTAAACAACAAGGCCAAAAATTCAAGTTCATGCATCTGATATAAAAATGTATTGAACAGATACATATGTACTCTAGTTTATGAAACTGTTGACCTTTTTTCTGTACCATTTTTGGTTCTAAAGTTACATTTTAAACAGACCATGTATGAAACACGGAACAAAAATTATTTCCCAAATTTCAAAGACCTGAAAATCATGTCAATAAATGGATGAATTTCATCATATCTTGTGTTATTCCATCTTTGAACTGTTGATGAAGGTACATGATTTAAAAAAAAAAAAAGGTATTTAAAATGATAAAAATTTGCTTGGAAGGACTGACATGTTTTATAGAAATAGTTTCCTTTCATTTTGAAGTAATATTTAAGTATTCAGAAGAAAAAAAACTGACAAATGATGTAAAATCCTGCACCTTCTACTTGTTTGCACAATTTTCCCTCCGTTACTTTTCCCTCTGTTACCATGACCTTTCTTAATAAAAAATCTCATGAGTCAAAAAGTCAAAGGTTTTTCAACCTAATCTTGTACCATATGGTAGAAAACTATATGAAGCAAATATTCAAACCAGTTTGTTCAGGATATGGAAGTGAGAACCAAGAGTTATCACTGTTTGGATTTATTGCCCAAAAAGTGCTGCATATTTCATTCCCTCCGTTACCGACATGAGTTTTTAAATTTTTTGTCAACATCTTGAAAGAATATCACAGGTTTAACTTGACCCTGTTGGAGTGTAACTCTTTCCTACATTCTGATACTTTACTTATTTCAACAGTCCCTCTAGTTTCTGAATAAGAGACATTTGAATGTCAAAAATCTGCCTCTGTTTCCCTCCGTTACTGCTTGACCGGACCCATAAGCATTGTCTAAAAAAGTTTAAGATAGTCTGAAAGCTCAAGAAAAAATACAGAATGGATTTTCAATACAGACTGAATGAAATTACAGAAAGGTAAATTCCTAATATTGAACCTGATCATTTCTATTATTGACTAAACCCAAGACCAGGCTGTATTATAACAAAAATCTGCAGCTGAACAATATTCATTTCAGATGCCCTCATCTGTATGAAATAATACTGACCTATAAAATGTAGCGATGTGAAACGCAGCAGTGTTTAACCACAGACTATGACACGTGACGTCACATTAAAGCCTCCAGCTTGGAGCATTCAGACACTTACGCTGTTTTTGGTGTTGAGACTGGCTCCGTACATCATGAGCAGTTTGATCATTTTAAACCTGTTGATCCTCACGGCGTCGTGCATGGGCGTGTCTCCATCCTGCACACAACACACACATGACATCTAAACTTCATCATCATCATCATCATCATCATTATGTCACCAAACAAATGAAAATGACTTGAATGCAGAATGTATTTTGATTTGAATAGTTTTTCCGAGTTTTGGTTCATTTACAGTATTTGATCTATACTAAAAATCTTGTGAATCAAATGAAAAAGAAAATATTTTTTATTTTAAAAGCAGTTTCCTCATACCTTTATACTATATATTAAAGAATAATATTGTGTAAAAGCTCAGGATTCAGGAGGTTTTCTCTATCCAAGTGAAAACAACTCTAATTAAGTTTGATATTCTTTATCCGACTCATCTTAGCACATATATGTACATATGTATATATTTATATATATTTCTATCTACAGTGAATTGCAGTAGTTGTGTCCTGACCCTGTCTCTGGCGTTGACGTCGGCTCCACAGTGGATGAGATGCTCGGCGCACTCACTGTGTCCAGTCCTGACGGCCACGTGCAGAGGAGAACTGAGCAGCTGGACACAAACACGAGGACAAACACTCAGATACACTCATAGATATTTCTACTTTTAGTCTGTGAAAATATGCAAATTATTAAAGGAACACAACACCTGTTAAATATCAAAAAGTATAAATCTTAGTCTCACAATATTTATAATATTAATGTTACTTAACCTAAATGTGACTTTATTCCCCTGTACTCTTCATGCAGTGTACTTTACTCAACCTTTAATGGCATTCAGTATTACATGTTATTTCATAGTAACTGATACTGATTTTTTTTGTAGAAGAAAAAACTCTGCTAGTACAAAGTTGACTACAAGTTTATAACACAGATTAATTGATGTGCACTGTCCCATAAAATCTGTATAAACTGCCTGTGTGTGTGTTTGTGTTTGTGTGTGTGTGTGTGTGTGTTTGTGTGTGTTTGTGTGTGTGTGTTGTTGTGTGTGTGTGTTGTGTGTGTGTGTGTGTGTGTGTGTGTGTTGTGTGTTGTGTGTGTGTGTGTGTGTGTGTGTGTGTGTGTGTGTGTGTGTGTGTGTGTGTGTGTGTGTGTGTGTGTGTGTGTGTGTGTGTGTGTGTGTGTGTGTGTGTGTGTGTGTGTGTGTGTGTGTGTGTGTGTGTGTGTGTGTGTGTGTGTGTGTTTGTGTGTGTGTGTGTGTGTGTGTGTGTTGTGTGTGTGTGTGTGTGTTGTGTGTGTGTGTGTGTGTGTGTGTGTGTGTGTGTGTGTGTGTGTGTGTGTGTGTGTGTGTGTGTGTGTGTGTGTGTGTGTGTGTGTGTGTGTGTGTGTGTGTGTGTGTGTGTGTGTGTTTGTGTGTGTGTGTGTGTGTGTGTGTGTGTTGTGTGTGTGTGTGTGTGTTGTGTGTGTGTGTGTGTGTTGTGTGTGTGTGTGTGTGTGTTTGTGTGTGTGTGTGTGTGTGTGTGTGTGTGTGTGTGTGTGTGTGTGTGTGTGTGTGTGTGTGTGTGTGTGTGTGTGTGTGTGTGTGTGTGTGTGTGTGTGTGTGTGTGTGTGTGTGTGTGTGTGTGTGTTATAGGGGCCAGTATGGTGCTTGTGTCCAGTGAGTGTTCTCCTGGTGGTACCTTGTCTCTGGAGGTGAACTTGGCGCCCTGGTCGAGGAGGAGCTGCAGAGCGGGGAGACTGCCCCCTCTGCACGCCCAGTGCACGGCCGTGGCATCCAGCTGAGAGCAGAAACACTAAGTCATACATAGGGGCAGCAGTAGCTCAGTTGGTAGAGCGTGTGTCCACTGATCTGAAGGTTAGTGGTTCAAATCCCACTCTTGACATAAACATCATTGGGTGAGCGGTCAGATCCACTGACCCACAGGTTGGCTGGTGTGATTCCAGCTCCCACAGATGAAGGCTGTCGTTGTGTCCTTGGGCAAGACACTTAACCCACCTTGCCCCTAGTGTCTGTGTACACTGGTGTGTGAATGGGTGAGTGGTTCCTTGTTGTAAAGTGCCTGGAAGGTGGAAAAGTGCTATAGAAAAATGTGACCATTTACTCCGTCCTGTGAACAGATTTAGTCAATAAAGTAGATCCAACTAAATGTATTTATGGAAGAGAAAACATTTGAGTTGATTTATTTGGTTGAAATCTTGCACAGTGAGGCTCCAAGTTTGTATTTTGTTCTTTAAAATATATTTGGACACTTATATTTAACATTGTTTAACTTAAAAGTATGTGCCTTGTTTGAGTTGTTGCTTGATAATGATCAGCCTTTGGCGCCCCCTTCTGGCACCAGTAAACTCAACTATATAAAAACATGTAATAGTCCAATGAGATTCATTTGGTCTTTAGATATTTTATGTTATTAGTTTCTTTTTTCACACCTAGAGTTTTAGAGCAGTCGAAACTGTCAGGTATGAAACAAAACTCTAGGTCTGAAAAGGAAACTAATAACATATAAAAACACGGCTGTTTCAGATTGACACTAGTACCTTGTCTGTGTTCTCCAGAGCAGCCCCGGCGTCCAGCAGCCTCTTCATGACCTCTGTGTGACCTTTGAAGGAGGCTTTGTGCAGAGCGCTTCTTTGGAACTAAGAGGAACAAAAGGCGTCACAGGTTTTTCACACTGTATATTAAAGGTGCATTGTGTAAACTTTGTCTGGAATGTTTCACGGTATTGTATTAAACCTTTCAATCTGCACGGAGACCAAACCTGACCAAGTTACAGGTCAGTGTAAACTCACATTGTCAGTGACGTTCGGGTCTCCTCCATCAGACAGGTACTTCTCCACGACGGGCAGTTTGTTCTCCATGGCTGCGTTCAGAAACATGTCTTCATCCACATACACGGGCTGCAAGAAGAAAACAGACTCCGGTCAAATCTAGATTTTACTGATGACAACTGTAATCCTAAATTCCAGGTAGAGCAATGACGTATCCATAGAAACAAGCAGGTGACGGAGCATTGTCAGTCAAAAAGGCAAATCTTTAATACTGTAGCAGTAGTAGAGTTCTGACCAGAGTCTCGGCGGCGGGCTGTGGCCTCTTCTTGGTGGGGGCCTTCCTCTCCCTCCTCCTCTTCCTCAGCTGTAGAATGTTGAACAGGTCGTCCACAGTGTCCAGCCTGAGCCGACCCGTTTTATCAGTCTGACGGAATAGAGACACAAGAGGTTAAAACCAGACGCCGGGCCGTGATAGACCGAAACTTAACCCACTTAAATCCACTTAAAGCTTGTCTATTGCTAAAAATATACTGTAATTAACAAAAGAAATAGAAAAGTAGATATTTAATGTTGCGTTGTGTAACTTTTCTACATCGCCAACTGATTTTCTCCACAGAGACATTATTGTTTTTTCTGGAATGCTCCACAGTATGAGACAAACCAGTTTTTAATGTTGTTCCAAGGTGTTTTTGAGCAGTAAAATAAAAAGCATAATAAGAAAGCAGTGATATTTGCATGAATAAAAGTGAAAGGTACATTGTGCACTTTTCTAAATCCTAAAAAAAACACGTATTTGAGATCATGGATCATTAGACAGCAACACAAAAAATTGTGTAATAATCCTGTTTTTAAAGGTCCTGTATTACACCGAATAGACTTGTGTGAACTTTTAGACATGTTAGAATGTTGTTTCCTCCTCAAAAACAGACTTGGAGTTGTGTTTTGTTTCATTCACACATTAGTCTGTCTACATTTCTAAAGCTCAAGATGCTCTGTTCCACCTCGTGATGTCATTTACTGGAAGCTTTTACTGTCAACTGGTCTCAATTGGTCTTGTCAACCAGTCTTTATTATAGTTTTGGTCTTGTGTTTACTCTCGTTTCAGACTCGAGCATATTTGGACTCAGTCTTGTCTCAGTCTTGATGGTGCTTGTTCTTGGTCTTGTGTTGGACTCGAGGTCTGACACTCGACGAGTGCGATCATATTTCATTATGGTGAGTAAATGTGCAGAGGCTCAATATCACTGCAAAACCAGTAAGAATATGTAACTGTAAATGTTATGAACTTGAAAAAAAACCCCACTTGATTCACTTTGAAGTCGTTTTCTGTGAAATGCTTATGGAAGTGGGATTAAAGGAGGGATTCTCAAAGTGTGGGTCCAAAAAAGGGGCACAGAGTGTTTCAGTGCAGTGCAGTTTGCTTGGCTTATTTTAAGCTTAAATTAACATTAATCAGATAAAATGGAGATAGATTTCTAAAATTCTAATCTAAAATTGATTTGGTCTCAATGGGCCGTGGTCTCAGTCTTGTCTCGGTCTTTTAAAGTCTTGATCTTGTCTCAGTCTTTAAACCTCTTGCTTTTTCTTGGTCTCGGTCTTTAAAAATCTTGGTCTTGTCTCGGTCTTTAAAAGTTTTAACCTTGTATCAGTCTCAACCTATAAAAGTCATGGTCTTGGCTTGATCTTTAAAAGTCTCGGCCTAAGGTCTTTCAAAATCTCGGTCTTGTCTTGGTCTCGGTCTTTAAAAGTCTTGATCTTGTCTCTGTCTCGACCTTTAAAAGTCTTGGTCTTATCTCGGTCTCGGCCCTCAGAGCTCTTGGTCTTGTCCTGGTCTCGGGACCCTGTGGTCTTGGACACGTCTTGGTCTCCTCTAGTGCAGTTTTACTCTTCGGTACTTTTTTACTCTTACTTTTTATTTTTTACAAATGTCTGTTTTACCATTTGTTCAGTTGAGATAATGAAGAAAAAGTCTCTAATATCCGCTGGTGCACCAAGTCAGGCAGTAAATCTAGTGAAGGTGTATGGAGTTTAAAAACACTTTGCGTTACAGGATGAAATAAAAATGAAATAAAAATGTGCACAGCTTTGGATAAAAGATTTTAAAACGGCATTGATTAGTTTGTCAAATTTAAAATCACTGTCAAATGGAGAAAAACAGTCGGTGGAAGAAACAACATTATGACCTGGATAAAAAATGTTGAAATATCGTCTCTTTAAAACATATTTTGTATTCTGATCAGATGTGGTTCTTACATTGAGTGCGGCCACGCTGACCTCCTCCTGCTCGCCGCCGCTGTCACTCTCCTCGCACAGAGCCCCGCCCATCAGGGGACCGTGCGACTTCCGATCATCCTGCTTCTCTTGATTGACGGCCGCCTCGTACACGCCTCCCGGGAAGTTCTCCGCCTCCTTGCCCTCTGACCTCTTCCCGGTCACCTGAGCCGGCGCAGAGAGAGACAGAAGAGCGACAGCCATAAATGAATGTGACCAGCTGAGAAAACGGCGCCGTACATCACCCACATGTGTCTCACCAGTATGTTTACGTTAGATATGGATACTTTGGCGTGTGATCTTTACAGCACAGGGTGACCAGATCTTCAACATCAAGAAAATTGTTCTGCACTTGACCCATTCATGACTTATTCACGATAACATGAGTCAGTAAAGTCATATTTTCGTTGGCAGGTGTCAAATTGGTCAAAAAAAGGGACACCAGGGACATTTTTCGTATAAAACTGAAACAAATCACTGGTTTTACATAAATCTGCTGGGACAGGGGACACAGGACTCAAACCTGGGACTGTCCCGAGTAAATAGAGATGTCTGGTCACCCTAATAATGCGTATTTCTATTGGTGGAATGTTCAGTTTCCGTGACACAATGCAAACGTTAACACGCACAGACAAAAAAGTTCTAAGATGGTCTGAAAACTCAAGAAAAAATACAAAACGGATTTAAACAGAACATTTTCAGGAGCAGAATCATGAGAGTTTTATGTGTGAGTGACTTTAAAACTACAAGTCAGCTCTCCTTTTGTAGTTCCAGTTAAGCCAGTTCTGTCCCAGTTTTTGATTTTGAAAATCTGATCACCCTAAGCTGGTTGTAACTGTTGATCTGCCGAACATAACGGAACGCTACAATGAAGTCTGAAGACAAATTAGAATACACAAATGAATAAACAATTTATAAAAGGAAAAAAAAAAAGAATAAAAGACATCTAGATGAAGAAAACCAGGCCATTTTCTCAGTTTTAACAGATTTTATCAGAACCAACAGAGCCCAAAAGAAGTCGTCATCTGCATGTTTCCAAAAGTCTGGCCGTTTTGAGACTTAAGAGTGAAAAGAGCCTATTAGGACGGCCCCAATGCATAAACTGCAAGAAGAAATATATAAGGAAGTAAAAATTACTTAAATTAAGAACATTTGACTTGATGTGAGTAAATTCAACTTGACAAGTCAGATGATCTACCAGTGGAATAAGTGTGTTCTTCTTAATTCAAGCAATATTGGATTTTTTTGTCTTATTTGAAGAGCAAAGAGTTGTTGTTTATCTTAAGTGAAGCAAGATGTGTTTTCATATTTTAACTACAAAAAGTCTTGTCCCATTGGTGGATCATTTTATTTATCAAGTGAAAGATATGTTCTTAATTCAAGTCATTTTAACTTGACTAGAGTTGAGTTTTTGCACCACAGCACTTTTCTTTTTTTAATATTTATTGTGCATTATGTATTTATAGAAACAGCACATGATGAAGAGCATAATCATTCGATGAAATAAATGACAGATCAAATGCACCAACTACACAGCAAAAACTGAAGGGATAAAATGTCAGGGTGAAATATTTGAGTTGTTTTTAACACAAAAGGCAGAGTTAATCTGGTTGAAGTTAATTCAACTTCTCTTAGTGTTAATTCAACTTCCCTTAGTGTTAATTTGGCTTCTCCTGCCCACCACTTCAAACTCCTGCGAGAGAAGAACAGTTTGAACCAGTTTTGTTCATAATTTCATCTTAATTAAACTAAAATAAAGTGTAAAACTAAAACACCTCTGTGTGTTGTTTAGATAAATCAGAATAACTCTGCAAGTGTTATCTGTTTACTCTCAAAATATTAATATAACTCTTGATTTTGGGGTTAAACAGGCACTTTGGTCCAGTGTTACTTGATTAACATTTCCAAAAAACGTTAAATTAACTCTAGAACAGATTGGACTCATATAAACCCTGAGAAAATGTTCAAACTGATTCTGTGAGACTCAATTTTAACTTAATAATAATTTTATAAATATTATACCACTATCCTTTTCATTTTCAAACAGTCCAGAGCATTTCCAATTTTTTAAAAAGAATGTATTTACTAAGACAATATCTTAACTGTTCTAAAGTCACCGTCTCAGATCTGAAATTCTTCCGCATTTGGACAGAAGCGGCATCATTCCCAACTCATTTTGACATTATAGTTTTTCCAGCCAGCATCAGGAGAAATTGGATGACATCTCTGAGAGCTTTCAGATTTACAAGTAGCCCCAGAAGACAAAGCAGTGGACTGGGAGATGAGGTCCGCCCACAACAGAGACACACTACATCCCAGATCGACTTTATCATCTGACACTCCCATAAAACAATCAAATCGAGTCCCCGGTGCACATTTACATTTGTTTTTCACATTTTTAAGAAGTAAAAATCACGTACAGCCCCTTTAAAAGCTTGATTGTGGTTAAAGCAATGATTCCGATTTAGATTTAGTTGAAACTGCGTTGTATGATTGTGGTCACTAGATGGCGGTGGTGCACACTGTTTTATTCTCCTGAACAGCCCGAGTTTGGCTCCGGTTCATGTGTGGACTTCAAAACTCACAAAGGGAAACCACCAATGTGAATAAAAAGTTATTGTTTTGATCCCAAATATGATGCCCTTGTTATTGGAAAATGACAAAAAAAGTGAATTCAAATAACATAATTACAAACAAATAAAAATAAATACTCTTTAAAACTGAAAATGACACCATGAAGTTATGACTGTGGCGCCCTGATGGAGGGTCCGCCACCTGCTTCTCTTCGTAGAGATGTTGCCTGAAATGTCCCACAGTATGGCATTACATGTTTTTATCTCTACGGAGACAGCGGGCGACGCCACAGTGCCAAGTTACATATCAGATTTGCGGAGAGGCGAGCAAACTCATACTAAGAGTTCTGCACGTTTTTAAGTAAATACAAACTCGTGCTCTTGAGGAAATGCAAGATAACCTTTTAGATGGGGGTCTGTCGCCTTCTTGTTTCCATGGAGATGTCATTACTCTGTTTAGAATGTTCCACAGTATGGCATTAAACAGCTCTACCTTACATTTATTCAGTTACAGGTGGTTTTACAGCTCAAAAATGCCAAGGAAATCAGGCGTTCTGACTGTGAGCGGGGTCGCCTCTCCACAGATCTGACCTGTGACTTGCTCTGGTTTGGTCTCAGTGAAGATAGAAAGGATTAACGCCATACTGTGAAACATTCCAGACAATTTGACAGATCCTCCACCAGAAAAGTCACACAACGCACCTTCACGTAATCTTTGTGAATATCACGGCAAAAAGTGGAGTGTTAAAATTGACTCTCACGGGATAAATTTGAACATTTTCTCAGGGTTTATATGAGTCCAATCTGTTCTAGAGTTAATTTCACATTTTTTGGAAATGTTAATTAAGTAACACGGGACCATATTTCCTGTTTAACCCCGAAATGAAGAGTTATATTAATGTTTTGAGAGTAAATGGATAACACCTTGTGGGGTTATCCTAATTTAACTAAACAACACACAGAGGTGTTTTATTTTTACACTTTATTTTAGTTAATTTAAGATGAAATTATGAACAAAACTGGTTCAAATTGGTCTTCTCTCACGGGAGTTTGAAGTGGTGGGTGGGAGGAGCCAAATTAACACTAATGGGAGTTGAGAGAACAATAGGAGAACACTAGGGGAACTTCAACCATATCAAGTCAGAAATAACAAATAACCGCAACTTGAACCCTCATTTAACTTTCAAATAAAATATAAAATAACACTTTTTGTGTTAAAAACAACTCTGAGCACTGGAAAAAAACAATATCTAGGTAAGTTAAAATGACTTAAATTAAGAACGTTTGACTTTATTTGAGTCGATTCAACTTGAAAAGCAAAATGATCTACCAAAAAAATAATAAAGAATAATAAATGTGTGTTTTTTTTAAAAATTATTATTATTGTTCAAGCAACATTTTTTTTTTGTTTGTCTTATTTTAAGTGCAAAAAGTTGTTGTTTTTCTTATTTTAAGTGTAACAAGATGCATTTTCATATCTTAAGTACAAAACGTCTTATTCCACTGGCAGATCATTTTACTCAAATCATGATAAATCTTCAACTTTTCAACAATTCAAGTCATCTTAACTTAGCTAGATTGAAACACTGAGTGAAATATTTTACCCTGAAGTTTTAACCCTCCAGTTTTTGCTGTGTACAGTTTAAATAAAAACAGCAAACTCTCCAGTTCGAGCTGAGATGGCGGTGAGGGGGTCTTGACGTTTGACCACGAGCTGCGATGAGGAGCCGTGTGGAGAATGTACACAGACTAACAGCTCCCGCATTAGCACAGCAGGGGCCTGACAGCTGCCTCGTGCCCGATCTGCACGCAGCCTCGCCCATCATTCACTCTCACTGACACTAATCACCAACAAACTCCTGTTTAACAACTCTCCCAAGGCAATAAACCTTAATCTGGTTTTATGAGCACGGATCCTGCCAGCAACACCAAAACACTCCTCTACCACAACGAGAGCTCGGATTAGCGGCTTTATAACGAGACACTGATGATGGAGATAATGAGCGTGTAACCATGTGCTCCACTATCCCCGTTATGATCAGGTTTTTGGACTATCCTGGTTATGTGCGTGTCCGTGTAGACGCAGTGTTCTGGTTTCAGTCTCCCGGAAAAGCGAGTTATCACGGTTATGAGAAACCAGAAGACTCTCACTGGGCGTTTTCTGATTCTGTCCAGGATTCTGAGGCCTGTAGATGCAGTATCCTGATTTCTCACCGCAGAGGTCTTACTGAGCCTGTGTGAACTCAAGTGACAGATCTAGTAAGAGTGTCAACTTCCTCAAAACGACTCAAATTCTACCAAGATATTTAAGTAATAATGTTTATATCTATAACAGAGAAGCCGCAAAGTCTTCAAAGTCTTCAAAAGGTCTTAAATTTCATGTTCCTAAATTAAGGTCTTAAATTATGTTGTCAAGGTCTTAAATTTCATTAGCCTATTTTTTTGTAAACTCATCCGGGCTGCAGTTCAATGATAAATGAAGGGAGGAAAAAAAAGAACAACATGAAATCTTGTACCGGGAATCAACGTCTAATTTGGAGTATGAACAAACAATACTTTGTTTGTCTTGTCAGAATGTTATAAAAGGGCCAAGTCAAGCAGAAGTAAACAGCAAGGCCAAAACTTCAAGTTAATACATCTGATATAAAAATGTATTGAACAGATACATATGTACTCTAGTTTATGAAACTGTTGACCTTTTTCTGTACCATTTTTGGTTCTAAAGTTCCATACATTTTAAACAGACCATGTATGAAACATGGAACAAAAATGATTTCCCAAATTTCAAAGACCTGCAAATCATGTAAATAAATGGATGTATTTCATCATATCTTGTGTTATTCCATTCCAAGTATTCGGAAGAAAAAAGCGACAAATGATGTAAAATCCTGCACCTTCTACTTGTTTGCACAATTTTCCCTCCGTTACTTTTCCCTCCGTTACCATGACCTTTCTTAATCAAAAATCTCATGACTCAAAAAGTAAGAGGTTTTTCCACCTAATCTTGTACCATATGGTAGAAAACTATATGAAGCAAATATTCAAACCAGTTTGTTAAGGATATGGAAGTGAGAACCAAGAGTTATCACTGTTTGGATTTATTGCCCAAAAAGTGCTGCATATTTCATTTCCTCCGTTACCGACATGAGTTTTTAAATTTTTTGTCAACATCTTGAAAGAATATCACAGGTTTAACTTGACCCTGTTGGAGTGTAACTCTTTCCTACATTCTGATACTTTACTTATTTCAATAGTCCCTCTAGTTTCTGAATAAGAGACATTTGAATGTCAAAAATCTGCCCCTGTTTCCCTCCGTTACCACTTGACCCAAATGATTTTTTGGTCATTTTACAAGCAACGCATACTACTATAAATGAGTTCTGAATGAGGTTTTAAAATAAAATTATTTTTTGTGATTTAAAGCAGTGAGTAATGGTCATTATTTGAATTCGTTCTGGTGTTTTTCATCCGCAGAATGGGTGCGATGTTGGTCTTAATTTTTGTTCAAGTGGTCTTAAAACGGTCTTAAATTTGGGGTAGTCAAACCTGGGGATACCTGGTAGAAATAAAATAAAGCTGTGCACCTCTGTGGCTGTTTGTGTTGCTCTTAAACTAAATTTGACACTGTGAGACTGTCGTATTATTATTATTATTATTATTATTATTATTTTCCCTTATGATATTACAGACAGAACAAACAGTAAAAACATTAGATATTTTGATTTGAGTGCGTACATCAAAGTATGAAGGGGTGATGAGACGATAAGAATGGCTTCTGTTTTTCTTATACGAGAGGGCAAGTGTGTGTGTGTGTGTGTGTGTGCGCACGTGTGTGTGTGTGTGTGTGTAGGTAAGTAATAAAACAGAAGAGACGTAAGAGGGTAAGGGTGAGAGGGAAAACAAAAAAATAAGAAACTCCGTCATGTTTTGATTAATAACGCCTTTCACTGAAGCTGTGACAGAGCTCCACAGGCTCATGTTCTTACTTGAATATAAGTAAATATGTGTTTTTTGTTGTTAGAAGCCTGTTAAAAAGCCTGAGTTCACAATCCAGTATACTGTCAGAACCAGGATAAGACTCCAGTGCACTATGTCACTTTTGCTTTTCTCCATGGAGATGTTACTGCTTTGTCTGGAAGGTTCCACAGTATTGCATTAAACATATTCAGTGGATTTATCTTATTACCCTGACCTCCTCCTGCTCTCCTCACTCAGAGCTCCGCCCATCAGGAGACCATGTGACAGGAAGTGACTGTAACATGACTTGTGTGTTCACCTGGGGTCAGCCTTATCATCAGAAGAGCCTCTAGTCAGAAAATCCATGTTTGTTACAAATTGTTACAAATGAAATTGTATTTCAAGTTTTAAATATTTTAAAAAGTGAATATTAAAAGTTATAAATATATTAAACCCTTAAAATACAGCAAAAATGTTTGAGGAAATAATGATTTGTGTGGAAATGGCATCTTAAGTGGAACAGGGTTAAGAATTGTCTGATTTTCAGGCAACAACTTGCAAAATGTTCAGTAATTCGAGCTCTACAACCTTCATTTCAATTTTATGTTAAATCTTTTTCTTTTAATATAGCATTGGTGGGTTTGTAAACCAACTAATTAAGTAATTCTGGCCTTAGCTAATGCTGATGCATGATTATGTGTTTTCCTGTCAATATCTCTAAAAATGTTGATGTTGCAGCCATTTTTAATTGGTAAACATCCAAAAGTTTACTAATTCTTCCCTGATATCCAGGGGTTATTCCCTGTTGCTTTCATCAAATATACATTCAATTGTTCAAGAGAAATGTTGCTGACAAACCAATAGAAGAGGGAGTGATTTTCTGACTAGTGGGTCTTCTGATGATGAGGGTCTAACGTTCACCTACAAGTTCTACTGGATCTACACTTGTTACTCAGTTTCCTTCAGTATCACTCAAGTATCTATCTCTGTTTAACTCTATTTATCTCTCTCTATCTACCTATCTATCTCTCTCTCTCTTGATCTCTCTATCTGTCTCTGTCTGTCTCTCGATCTCTCTATCTATCACTCATTCTATCTCTATCTCCATCTCTCTGTCTATCTATCTCTCTTTCTGTCTCTCTCAATCTCTCTAACTCTCGATCTCTCTCTCTATATATATATATCTAGCTTTATCACTCTCTGTCTCTCTTTCTCTCTACCTATTTCTCTATCTCTACAGCCCTACATCTCTCTCTCTCTCTCTTTCTCTCTCTGTCCATCCATCTGAGTCTGAGTTCCAGTGAAGTGTGGGTTATTGTCAGGGTCTCTGCTCAGTGCCAGGGTCACACCTGACACGTCACAAGAATGTTTGGTTCTTATAATGGGCTGTGCAGGTTCACTGTCGTCAGGATTGATTCTCTCCATATTTGGTGTAAGATTCTACTGTAGCCACAGCTGCCCTGGGGCACAGGCCTGTCACGGTTATTACAATATCATCTTATCGTTCACTATATGGTGCTCACTATTTATTTTGTTTACAATTTCTTTACAATAGTGAGGCGATTTTTTGCCTTTTTTATGTAATAAGGTGAGAGACGAACTGCAGAAGGTCGAATAAATAACTTCTATGGCTAAGTATTGGTTCAAACTAAGCAAAGTGGGTGAAGTGTGACGCCCAAGGACACAACAACAGAACTTGGTGAACAAGCGCTCTAACCACATTCACCCTCATTTATTTATGCTTATATTTGTATTCTTAATCCTACTTGAACACTGTTGTTAATTCACTGTGCATCTAGAAATGTAAAGATGTTAGAGGTGAATCGGTTCATGTATTCATGTCGAACTGTTTCAATTCGTGTGTGTTTACTTTCTGCCACTACATGTGCAGCTACATGGAAGACTCGGCTCATCCGTGATTGGGGGGGCAGTGTTTCCCGCAGTACTTTATAGTTATAGTTGGACAAGTTGTTTTTTTCTGGCCAGAAATCTGAAGAAATCTGAAGACTGAGTAAAACTTCCTGCTGGAACTGTTAGTGCTGCGCTTTACGTTTTGAAAGGATTTTAAGTTTTTTATAACATTTCATACATTTGTTTATTTGCTTATTTGAGAATATTTTATTTAACTTATTAGTATTACGAAGCAGCACTTTGCATTTATTTTCCCGTTTGTATAATGTTAAAATAAATTGTTGGTTTAAATGGTTTTGCCTTTTGTTCCCATACTTTACTGAAAATGAACCGAACCGTGACCTCAAAACCGAAGTACGTACCAAACTGATTTTTGTACCGTTTGTACCCTAATAGATGTATATATATATATATATATATATAAAATTGTTATCAAAAGTCTTATACCTTATAAGTGCGTCAAAAGGTTAGAGTAACTCTAAATTTGGATTAAACCAAATTCACAACCCACAAAAATGTTGCGTTGTTCCACCTTCAAGGCTCAAAGCGCTTCACACAGTCACACACCAGTCTACACAGACACTGGGGGCAAGGTGAGTTAAGTGTCTTGCCCAAGGACAAAATGACAACATTCATCCGTGGGAGCTGGACCTTCTACTCAAGTGGCTCTTACCAACTGAGCTACTGTCGCCCATTAATCATGATTATTAAGTGTAAGAAGAGATCTTGTTTAAATTTTATATGTACTTGATGAACCAAATTAAACTATCCATCATTTTATGTCATGCAGTAAATTATAAATAAAATATTAAAGCAAACTTGAGCTGACGCCGCTTCAACCAGGAATAAACAGATCTGCTCTAAATAAAGACAATGACATGTGCCCGTCCAACTGCCCGTCCGCTCCAGATGCTCTTTCATTCTCTCGTGTCTTACCAGCTCTTCCACGCTGTGCAGTCCCATCGTCCCAGGCGCCGGATGCTCTCTGTCTTTCTTTCTTTCTTTTTCGGTTCCTTTGCCAAGGCTCTGCCCGCTGTCTCTATCCTCTCCCTCGTCCCCTGAGTCTGCGTCTGCTCCACTAACGTGAGCGAGCCTCTTTATATCCACGTCACACCTCCGGGAGTATGACTGCTGCTGGCTCATGTTACTGTCCCGGCGTCCCCCCTCTCCCCCCCTCTCCCCCGTCCCGTCCCTGGCGAGCTGGCATGAGGGTGGTGGGGGGGCGCCGGAGGTTCGCATGTCACCCGGGCAGAGATGTCATGCAGGTATGCGGTGCCACTCTTATGTCACGGTGTGTCAAAGTGAGTGGTCCCTGCGGTATGGTGTGGCATGACGGCCAGATATGCTGTTTACGGTCTGCCGGGGGTTTCGGATGCATCTCGGCGAACTGTACGTTATATTGACGTCCGCGCGGCATGACAGTTTTACACGGCAGGTTTACGGTGTCAGGAGTGTACGGACTTGTTTTGCTCGGCAGCGTTCAGTCATATTACCGAAAACTATCAAAGGATTATATAGGTCACTGTTTTCTGATCTATGTTATGTTGTTTTCTCATCAAAAACAGACCTGGACTTGTGTTTTGTTTCATTCGCACACATTTAACACACAAACCCTGCAGATTTAGGCTGTGTTCTGCTCAGAAAACACTGTTCCACCTTTGATGTCATGTGGTAGTGGAGTGCGTGACATGGAGTGTGATTTAAACTCCATACATCTTCACTTGAATCATCTGGATGATTTCAACTCTGGAATTGCCGATCTCTACTGAACTAAAGGTAAAAACTACTTGAAACCTACTACTTCATGACATCACAAGGTGGAACTGAGCATTTTGAGCTTTAGAGATGTAGACAGACTAATAGTAAAGGGTTATTCAAACATTTGTGACTGAAGCAACGCAACTCCAGGTCTGTTTCTGAGGAGGTAACAACATTAGAACTAGGGATGAACATTCGATTAAATTTTCTTAATCGATCGTCGGGAGAATCAACGATCGATTATCGATTAATCATTAACCTTTTTATATCAAAATGATCATCATTATTATTACTATCTGCACTACTAATCTGCATAAATAAATTCAACTTTACAACATATAAACCATAATCACTCTAGAGCCACATCACAAACCAGGACACTGTACGGGGGGTGGGAGGTGGGGCCTCGTCATCGACAGTGTGCTACTCTCACCTGGCAAAGCTTTTTCATGTTTATCAGTGTCCTGGTGCTTTGAGGTCCCTGGTACTGACACTGAAACATATGTGCTGCTTTGTACACTGTGCACATGGACTCCCACTTGTCTCGACCGGGACGGAAAGTGTGGAATTTCTTGTACAAGTCATTGTTAAATGTGAATTTGTGCTTCAGCACATTGCAGACTGACCGACTGTTTGTGTCTCGCTCCTTCTGAGTTACAGAGAGACACAAGAGCTGCTCAATTTAATGGCCCAATGAAAGGTAATGAAAACCCGGACATTTGTATCACTTTATAAAAAAAAAAAAAAAAGCCAGGACAGGACGTGGAAAAAAGACATGTCCGGGGAAAACAGACGTTTGGTCACCTTATGCTACGCGCAGCAACCTACATTCGGTTTGTCGATTAAAAATGAATGTAATCAACGAAATTCTTAATAATCAATTATTGATTAATCGACTAATCATGCCCACCCCTAATTAGAACATGACTTTTAAATATCACAAGAGTATTTTCTGTGTAATATAGGAATTTTAAGACATTTATTTGCCTGTTTGTAGCCTCGTAGAGGACTGTGACAGTGGGGTCCATGTCACGGTAATTTTAGGCTACGTTTATATGAGGACAGTCTAAACAGAAGACGTAAAAGTTGAGTCTTTAGACGACCATTTTCGGAGAATGGTGACGCAAAAGTGTGTGGAATTGGACTGGGTATGAATGCACTAACTCGCCTGCGACGACCTGGTGCACTCAGAGTTTGACAGAGGTGATTGCAGATCCTTCTCTGTTCCTTAATAGTATCTCTGCAGATTCTCTACATTTGTTGGGAGCCTCCTGTAAGTTTATTAGAGCCGCCAGAGCAGCTTAAAGGTCCGACACATGGAAATGATCCGACATGTTTGTTTCTGTGTACTGTTTGTATTTGATGTAAACGCGTACATGACTTGAGTAGATCTGACCAGAGTTTTGCGCCTTAGGCAGTGTAGATGGAAACACTGTGATTTTTACATTTTTAAGCCTCCAAAATGCCGTCACCATCTAAATGAAAGGCACTTCCGATAAAATATTTTGTTGTTTTTACCCGCAAGCGTTCTCATGTAAACAAACCCTAATACTAATGGATTATTCAAACATTTGTGAATGAAGCAACACAACTCCAGGTCTGTTTTTGAGGCGAACACTTGAACATTAGAACATGACTTAAAAAATCAAGAGTATTTTCTGTGTAATATAGCAACTTGAAGCCATTTATTTAACTGTTTGTAGCCTGCGCAACATAAAAAAGGTAGACCTTAACAATGATGCAAATAGGCACACTACCGGTCAAAAGTTTTAGAACATCACACTTTTTGTATTTTTTTTCTGTTTACTGTTGACCAAAACGTATTTTAAACTTTGGATTGATGAAAGTGTCCATCTTTGGCAGATAAAACAGCTGAAAACACTTGTGGCTCGTTCTTTTTACAATAGAAATCAAATATTGTGCAGAAAGTTCTTCCCAAGTCTGTTGCAGAAGTTTCCATAAATGTGTGGCACTTGTCGGTTGCTTCACTCTTCTGTCCAGTTCATCCCAAACCAGCTCCATGGGGTTTAAGTCTGGACACTGTGCTGCTGCTGGACACTCCATGTTTTCAAGTTTTACCATCTTGTTCTTTTTTCCTGAGGTAGTTTTGGCAGAGCTTGGACTTGTGTTTTGTATCCTTTATCTTTTTTTAAAAACCTCTGTTTGTTCAGTTTTTACCTTTGCACCATTTCAAGTTCTTCATTGGACTTGCACGACTTGAATTGTAATAAATAACACCAGTATATGGACAAGTTATGGGCGAACCTGGCAACCCAAATCAGAGACTCATGTGGGAGTCATTCTGTGTTGTGATTGGAAAACCAACACCAAATTATAACACGAAGAACTGCATCAGTAAGTCCAACGTGTTTTTGTAATTAAGACTAAATCAGCATTACAATCGTTATCAGAAAAGATTATTTTTGATTTGAACATGTTTACTATTAGCCTGTTTCACTATCTGAAAAACCATCTGAACTCGCAGTGTTAGAATTCGTTCACTCGACGGTAGGTGGGTACTTTTTCATTTAACCAATCGCTGCTATTTGGTCGTGACGTATGTAATGCGCCGCTAACGGGGCTAACGAGTATATTAAGCTTTTCCCAAATCCCGTAGGAAGAAGGACAATAACGTCTTTCACCAAACATTCTCTTTATTCCAGCTTTAAATCCTCGATCTCGGGAATCGTTGACAACACAGAATGTATGACTCTTTGCTGATTGGCTGGTGCTCGAACTTGCACTTCCAGAGTCCGGAGGCCGTATCCCACTGACTTTGATCCCAAAGGGGCCGGATCAGAAAACTCATGGCATATAAACCCAAAAATAGTTCAAATATTTGTGCAAATCTATTACAGAAATCTTTTTCAATTGATGAACTCTTTCTTTTACAAAATATTATAATATTATGAACAACCTGAAACTTTAAGAAAAAGACAATTTCAACACGTTTTAACATGAACTTGTTTGCAAATAGGAATAAGTCAATTTTTCTTGGAAAATCCTGCACTCGACTTTTCTCATGTTGGACATTTTTCTGATGAGGGTGTCACAGTCAACAGTCAAAACGATCGTCCTTTAAGAGCGTTTGGAAAGAGACAAGTCTTCATTTGTGCTGCTCTGGTGGGAGGGGCCACGTACAGAGACGCTGGAGACGCTGCTAAGCTAAGCACCGCAAAAATTAACAATATTTTAATAGAAAATCTAATTCTAATATTTTAGTAGAAAATCAGCCGAGGGCCAGATTAAAGGTCTTGGAGGGCCGGATCCAGCCCCTGGGCCGTATGTTTGACACCCATGATCTAGTGTATTCTGATTCCTGATCTAGTCGGAGAGAAATGAAATTGAGTGGAGGCACTAGGTTGCACCAGCCTGACTAGTTTACTATAACTTCTTGGGTTCTTTTTAAACATAATACAGTAGGAGGTGTATTTACCTTGTTGTTGGTGGTGACGTGTCGTACATCAGCTGTTGTTACTTCCTGTCGGCCTGATGGACCTGGCAGGTTTCTCAGACTGACCACGCCTCCCGTCGCCCGGTCCTCTCCCAGGTGTGTGAAAGGAGGAAAGCTCTGTCATCTCGGTTAATGCTGTCCGTGCTTCGTTTCCTGATTTCACCGTCCTCCCTGATCCGACGTTTGAACTTGTTTTTCTCTGATCCAATCATCCGAGCCCCATCCCAATCCATAATGTGCTGATTTCTTTCACAGTGCTCGGATTTTAGGTTTTCCTGCTCTGCTTTGTCAAGACGACGGAGAAGTTAAAGCACATAAGAAGACAAAATGAAAATCTTTGGTTTGAACGTGTTTACCTCGGATCTTGCGACACAGGTAGGTCATGTTTATGGAATTTAAAATCAAAATCTTACTCACAGTTCCTTGAAAACAGACTGCAGATTTTTGTTCTAGCAAGTTCTGAGGTGTAGTAAAAGAAATGATTGGGTTCAACTTTTGCAAATTTAATTTTTGAATATTTCGTGCACACAAGAGGAAAATGATCTGGATGATAGATGATTTTTTAAACATTTGAAATGGACAAAAAAGGGTTAGGGGTTAGTGAGTGACATCTCTTACATTTCCAAAAAGCAGAACTAGAATGGAAATAAAAATGTGAAATCAAATGAATAAAAAATGTGAGGCCAAAATTGGAGACTGAATTGTGAAATGAAAAAATCTTGCCTCGTCTCGTTCTCGTCTTGTGAAAATTGTGACTCATCCCATCCCTACATGAAAAACCTGAAAGCTTCCAATAAACAGCGGAGACTGGGAGATTTCCCTGAAAGATTACAGGTTTGTGTCTTGAATACAGAGCACAGACTGGGGTTGTCAAATCAAGTAAGAATCCAAAATCAGATACTAATAATATTAAAACTAGTATCGAAACTA